TTAATAATTTATACTAAAATATGAATAATAAATATTCTGCAGGTTAAACTTTTGCTGGAAATTATGTTCACTTAATCAGTAAAATTACACGTGGCGACCCGAAAGGCGTGGGTTCGGCTCTTCACCGAAACGTGCTTCCAATACGGAGGCGAATAATTGACCCTCCTGGGCGCATTCAGAAACGCTCGTCGCGGCAAAACACCGTCAATAATAAAATTATCTAATCGCCACCGCCACCGCCGCCGGGCAGTAATTCGCCAAACGAGTGCACTTCGTTTCCGGGAGTCGCGTGTACGCGCATTGTCTGGACGATCTAGATAGCGCGCGCGTCGGCCGCCGCTGTCTGCGTCCTCTATGCGCACGCGCGCGAGAGAGGGGCGTTGCCTTCGAGGTGCGGGTGGTCTCAGCTGAACCGGCCCGAGCGCACAGTGGAGAGAAGACGCACCACAAGCGAGCGTGGAGTTGTTTAGTACTTGCTCACCCTTACTTCGTAAGAAGAGAAAGTATTCTAATCGGCAATTTACATTCGCAAGTACATTTTTTTGAAAAAAAAAAGGAAACTAGAAGTTTTCGCGTATTTTGTGCTCAAAATTAATGCAATATTTAAAAAAAGAAAATACATGTTTCTTAAAAACAGCTCCAGATTTTTTTCTTCAAATTGTTTCCACTTATACAGCAATGTACGTTTACAGGAATGGCGCAGTTCTCAGTTTCGTTGAACTCTGAATTTTCGAAAACTGTAATTTTAGTAAGAAAATATGTGTCATTGTAGCACTACTAGTTTATTGAAAGCGTAGGCTTCCGCGGACGGAGTCAGTAGCTTCTTGGCTGTCCGGGAGACACCCCGTTCTGGACATAGAAGCCAACGTTTCGGCCGTCATGCTGCGAGTAAATGCATTTTGCCCTGAGGAAGGTCGCAACATGACGGCCGAAACCTTGACGTCTTTGTCTATGACGCGGCGTCTCTCGGATAGCCACGTAGATACTTTTTATTTCTTCATTCTAGCGTTAGTCTCGCGCAATTGCAGGGCCTGCAATGCCCCTCGGCATGTGCCGGTTTTGAAGGACGTACGTACTGTCCCACGACGTGGCGTCGAAAACCTGATTTTAAGTCTCTAGGCCGCACCGTTTTCGAGTCAAGGACGATGGTTAAGCCTAACTATGTTGCGGTTATTTTCTTGGTTTATTTTCTTGTCTCTATATCTGCGAATTTGTATTTTAACTTACTCGGGTACTACGTACATTGAATAGAGAAAATCTTAAGTTATGCTTCAGCTAAAAACTGCCATTTTCGGCAGAAAAAAATTGAATTTTAAGTCCCCAATACAGAAAAAAAAAGATAAAATTCTTTCGACAAGAATCAGAAACGGTGAGGAGGGCAGCACTTTCCAGCACTAACGGGGTTTTACGACGACGATTTCGTATAAATGATACAAAGAAGTCGTTTATCCTTAGCTGATGTGTAGGTAATATATTTATTTGTTAATTAATTAATTGCCACTCGCATGCATTCGGCCCAGTGCGCATTGTGAGCGCGGGAGGCGGCGCGGGCGGAGATCGTAACTCGGGCGAGCCAATGCGGAAGCACGGTCAGGCCGGTCGGAACGCCGGCGCCTGCCGCTGATAGCGCTGCGGAGTGCGCGGGTTATTGCCAGCAGCGACAGCCACATCTCGATAGCGCACTCGCGTGTGCGGGAGGCGGTTTACGCTAGCGGTTTGATAGATGGGCTTGATCTTAGTTTAACACCAGGTGGTAGATTTCTAAAATAGTACACATTAAACGTTCATTATGAATTACAACACTGTAGCATAATCAATATATACATTTACAACTCTGGTTCAAAAACATTGATATGGAGAGATATTCTACATTTGCACAAGTATTTTAGAATCTATAGGTAAGGCAGAAACGCGAACTGGGTCAAGTACTTTCTAACCATTGAACGCGCACAAATAAATAGATTCTCTGAAAATATGTAATGTTTTAGAGATACAAGTCGAAACTTCTATTTTAACGAAATATGCGTTTATAATTATTCGAATATACATCAACAGGGAAAATTGGCTAAATATGCTCAAATATATTAATTTACATAGCATTCAATTCTACCCAAATGTCAAGAAATTTCACTTAGCTATGCCCTGAAGGAACAGACAAAAATATGCAAAATCATAGATCCACTCCTAATCATGAACATGTTCTTTTTCACTCCTGAACATCCTTTACAAGGTACGAGAGCGCTCAAACGCATTGTGGTATTAAACGAATTATAAAATAATTGTTTTTGTACGCCATCAGAATAAAAAGAAAAGAAAAACATCGTTGGACCTTTTCTTTTTGTTGTTTTTACAGCATCTTGAAATGGTGAATTCACAAAGAACAATTTCTAAAAATTACATGTCTTTATATATATATATATATATATATATATATATATATATATATATATATGCACAAAAATGTACTTCGTCCCCTCTTTACTGTTTCTTTAAGTGTTTTTTGCTCTCTTTCCTTCCAATTTGCACTCGGAAAATGCACTTTTCACCTCGAAAGCTATTTAATGCGGTCACTAAAGGTATTCGAAAACCCTCATGCTTATCTCCTCGACCTTGATCAAAAGCATGCTTTGTTGCTCAGGCCATGTTATTACACGTGGCAGTGTTATGATGCACGGATGGATGACGTGAAGGAAAGACTGTTTTCTGTCTTATACGCTTACAATTGCCTCACTGTGAAGCTACGTAAAATATATCATATCATATATAAGTAAAATATATATTACAATACTTACTGTATCTCTGAATTATCATAATTATATTTCTCTTTACAGTTGCAGTATCTTGATAAGCTCTCGACAAAGGGGGAAAAACGGTTTTTAAAAATTATTTATTTCAAGTCTCTTTAAAAACTATGTAAAGATGAAACTTTTAGAGATACAAGTTTAAGTCTGTATATTAACATTTTGTCACTTTAAATCTCAATACTTTGGCCTATTTTGTAAGGTATTTTCGTTGAATGGTTTTGTTGATAAAGGGGCTAAAACCAATTGGTTACCCTCACGTACTTTCCGTACTTTTCCATTTGATTTAATTCTTTTTTTTTTTTAGAATCACAAGTAAATGTTGATGTTGAAATTTTGATAAATATTCGACATCGAAAATTTTGTAAATAGATTCTTGATTTTCGAAAACCGTTTTTCATTCTCCATAACCCAGGTTCTTCGGTCTATTCAGTTAGATCACGTGTGTAACTTTTTTCCCTACAGGGCTCTACAATGCAGTTATGTCAATGTTCTTTTACTGATTTTTCTTCTCCGCGTTTTCAGAGCAGTATTGGTAATAAATTTAAATTATGAAAAATTGTGTTTTATTTGTTTCTATTTCAGGATCAACAATTTCGTGTTGTTTTCGCAGGTTGCATACGTACAGGAACTTTTCATCTAAGAGCTGTGTTAGTAGGAAGAAACAAAGCAACGTTGACTTTTTCTTACAGGTGGAGACATGCGTGCCTAGTATTCGATGATTTCATAACCCGCTGGTATATTGAGAAGGAGCTCTGGCGGAAAGGTTGCAAGTTACGCGCGCTAGCGAGGGAAGTAGGTTGGCTGTTCCAGAGCTTCCGCTTGATTAACCACATAATCCCCCCGCATCCGTTCACACATTTTCGTGAGACCGCGTCCACACACCGGTCTAATTTGAACGCTGCGATTTCCTTTTAAGCTGTAAGAGAACTGAAATTTCAAGAGATATACTCTCCCTATTTGAACATCTGGGAAGTAAATCGGCAGTTTTTACATTTCAAGAAAAATAATTTCAATCTTTTATCTTCTCGACTTGTTTTATATGTGAATACTATACTTAAATGAAATATAATAGTTATTAGCAAAAAAATTCACATAAAACAATACCAGAAATTTTAGATTTGGGTTAATTCGTCATGTGTGTGCTTTAGACAGCTTCGATACATACTATGTATTCTACAAATTCTTGTAGCTACGTTTGCATTTTAAATGTGATTAATTACGATGCAGTTGATTTGCTTTTCAATAGTCGATTATTTAAAACTGTTTTGGCAGTTTATGATAGGTACGATCGTACTTCGTAAATAACTGAAGCCGTAATTGAGAGTTAATCAAAGCTAATGAAATTACAAAAGTATTCGGAAAGATATAAAATGTTCAAGAAATTATCTCTACATGTTTTCAATGAATGTTTTCTGAGAAACTTGCAACCATTCTGCCAGTTCAGCCCTTTGTTGAAAGAGAGTGAATGCGAGTGAGTGTGAGTGTCAGCGAAGTTGGGCTTGATTTAGATCAATTTTACAATGGAACGTCAAAGCTAAAGTAATGTAGGCGCTAAACAATCCAACCATTTACAATAATTTTCAGGTACAATGATATTAGATAGTTGATATTAGAGATCAAATCGAAAGTTTTGTTCGTGGTTGAACTTAACGTAAAGGATGAACTTTAAATTGACCTTCGATATTCCCCCAAACTTCAAATCTTCATGAAAACGTTAAATATTACAAAAATGTTTGTGTTAACGTTGAAAAAAATAATTTCCAAATATTTCTATGTAACTCAATTAATTGAAACTATAACTTCTTAGATTCTTATTTGATAATTGAAGATTACTTTTATTGATATTTTACCATTTTTTTGTTTATGCGCTAATGTTTATGGTTTTTTATGGTTTGTAAATGGTACGGATACGCTTATGTCAACGTCGTAAGCTTTCAGGAGCGGATCCACTGAGAGTAAATTAGGATTATCCTGTACTCACCCAGACAATGCGTTATTTTGTAAAATAATAAATAAATGTTCTTATAAATCTATAAATAGGCTATTAGTTTGGTGAAAATTTGTTGTTCATTTCACAATGCGGCATATGTATTAAGGTGCATGTAGGAAGATAAATAGCTGGTTTGAAAATTAACGGAAATGGCTCTACATTCCTAAGACCTTTCCTTCTGACGAGCAATTTCGGGTTTTTAGCGCATGCGCAGTGTGCGAACCCTGAGCAACCCCAGAAGTGACACTGCGCCTGCGTGCATTCGGAATCGTTTGCAGGAAAAAAAAGCGCGTTAATCAGGCTTGAGATACTCCTTTGGATCCGCTTTTGCGTGCTTTAACGTGCATCCACATGCCAGCATTAGCGTTAGCGTTAACGTTCTCATTGCGAACGAGGTATTTTTTTAACGGAGCTCGTGCGCTCTCGTCGCAGTCGACGCCGACTACTTCAGCGAGGGCCGCGAGTGCGTCAACTGCGGCGCCATCCAGACGCCCCTGTGGCGCCGCGACGGCACGGGCCACTACCTGTGCAACGCGTGCGGCCTCTACCACAAGATGAACGGCATGAACCGGCCGCTGAGCAAGCCTTCGCGCAGAATGGTAAGGCGACACTGGGGCGAGTCCAGCCCTGACCCGCCCGATAGCCCTCCCCCACCTTGCAGACAGGGCCTCGCTCGTCGCCTGGGTTCCGATTCCTCGACACGACGAACGGATCTCTGTTGAGCCGAACGATTCACGAGTATTCGGTGCTTGGTGTCGAGCAGGTTCTTCACAAAGACGGAGAGAGGAAAGGAGGGCAGTTTCGTTTACGGTTTATTGTTTTCGAACTTTTTGTTCATTAGTCACTGAAATCCATACGTATTTCACATTAAATGTTCTCTTAAATCGTGAACGAAACGGATTCAAAATCTCTGTTAAGACGGTTACTGGAAATAAGTGAGGAAGCTGCCTAGTGGGAATCCCCCAGTGTCGCCCTGCCATGCCTGCAAACCCCCAAAGCTTGAATTTACCCCTCAAGCAGAAATCGAACTTTCAAAAGATCACATAATTGTTACATTACTCATGGTTTGCCTTGTGTGTATTACAGTGGTGGTATCGGGGGATTTCTGCAGGGGCGACTATTTGTATAACGGGCCGATGGCGCGATCCAACATGGATGAAAAAGCAAGCCGTCGGTTGGTAGGTGTAGTTGTAAAAATCCTCTCTCTGTCTTTCTCTCTCCCTCTCTCTGTTTTGTCTGCTGAAGCTACTCCGCGCAGCTTGTTTTCTCATTTCTGCTTCTGCTTTGTTTGTCATAGTCATGAACCAAAAATACATCAGAAAATTCTGTGTCGTTTCCCTTCGAATTTTGGCATGTAAACACGAGGATTCTGCACCAGAAAAAAAATCCTGTCACCCATAAAAACTTACGTGCATCCGCAGCGTTTCTTATATGTCGTTCGCCTTTTTGACCTTCAGAATATGCTAATCCTTTATCTATTTCTCAATACCATCCACAAGACGACCGCGTTGTCCGATGAACGCGTCAAACGCTTTGCATGTCATAAATTTTGTGTTTTTACATACATTTTCATGAACCACGATAAGGACTTGCTAGAAGTAGTTGTGGCAATCTCACAAATAACTTGTTTTGCATTTCCGTGATGAGCGAAGTGTAATTATTTTGTCATTTCGTTCCGTTTAGACGTACGCTTATAATTAAAATGCAACTACATAACATTTCTTGATATTTTTTTAGCGTACTAGTAAATGCTTTTAAATTTATTATCGTTTTTAATTCTTACACTTAGTACGCTCTTCAGTTGAGCGCTATGAGTAATCTTTCCTTTTCTAGCTGCGAAAACCTGTAGGCACACTTAAATAAAATACGTTTAATTCATTTGACTGAAGTTACTATTACAATCGATTACAGCTCAGAGAAATGTCGGGATACTTAAGTGGCAAAAAAAGACAACACAAATGTTTAGAACTTAACGTAAATTAAATAACCACAAGAAATCTTTTTAAAAGTAGGATTTGCCCATTCTCAAAATCAGAAGTACAAAAATTAGAAATTATGCTCGTGCCCCTGCGTAAGGACGCTATGCAGCCCTCTGTGCACGTAAGTTGTGCGAGATGCGTAGTGTTCAGAGCTTCCTTTCCCGCACAAGAGAAATTAGAAACAAGCAAGATAAAAATAGACCCACCATCACGGTGACGCGATTGTCCAAGACATTGAACACTAAAATAGAAGTAGAATGTTAATATCAAGGCCTTTACTATCTTTTAATGAATGTCCCGTGAAATCTCATTGCAATAATAAATAGGTTTTTACTATTGAAAGAAATACCCATATATTTTTGGAAATAAAAATGTAGAACGTTTCATGAGACTACAAATGATTAGAAAAAGAATATTTAAGTGTATTCTTTTAATGATTTTTTTGATAACTTAATAATAGTTGAAAGCGAAGCCAAAAATAGAATTTTGTAGTAAAAATACAATTGAGTGTTAAATGACGGTAACTCCACTTCAAATGATTTGAAGCAAATAAATATTAAAGACAATTAATTACAACTATTAGTCATTTGATTTACATTTTCTGCCCAGTATTACTTATAACTCTACAAGTGGAAAATGCTATTTTGTACTACAAAAAAAAAAAAAGGTAATTTAATTAAATACTAAATTTGATTCTAACTCTTTACAACTTCTAGTAATTATTTCTTAAAATTAAAAACTAAGCAATAATATAAAAAAATACCAGATACCACAGCATTATTTAAAATTATATTTCGTTAACTTTCATGTCTGTTCATATGAGGATCTTGGTGAGTAATGAAAAGATTAGACTCTCAGAAAAGCTTCTTTGAATAATATTTACAGTTTTTATCTCATTTCATGTCAGAGACATATTTTTATCAATCTAATTTTTTTGAGAAATCTTCAATTCATTTTCATTATTATATTCAATTCAACTATTTGAATTTTATTTTCAATTGTTTTAAATACAGTTCAATTAGGTACAACCTTTTCTAGTTCCATGGTATAATAATAATTCATAATTGTTTCAATTTTTAGTTCTCATACATTTATAATGTCTTTCCTGTTCCCAGAATTCTGCTCGCAGAGCAGGTATGTCTTGTTCAAACTGTCAGACATCAACAACATCCCTCTGGCGAAGAAATCAATTGGGAGAGCCAGTCTGTAATGCCTGTGGCCTTTACTATAAACTTCATGGTGTTAACCGCCCGCTGGCTATGAAGAAAGATAGTATACAAGTAAGAATATTTTTAAACTCTTTCTGTGTATGATAATACTGCAAAATAATTATGATTTAATGAGTGATAATTAGGTAAATTAGATGAAGTAATATTCTTTGTAATTTTTAATTTGTCATCTATTCTAAAGAAATAGTTTCTTCATAGTTTATTTTCATTGTTAAATGTTTCGATTGAGAAAAGTAATTCCAAACTTGCTCAATGGTATCTACATAGATTTGCTGTACATTAATTGACTGAGTAGAACAAGATCTTTTGTCACTACACTTTAACATTATTTATTTTGTTTGTAAATTTGTTAGTCGGTCAAGAACAAAAGCTTCATTCGATAATTGCTGAATTTGGCACGAACATTGCTTGATGTTATCAAAATATCATATGAGTAAGGATTTTATAAATTCCATTTCAAGATGGAGGCTGTTGTAGTTCTTGTAATGTTCAGCTTTAATCAATGGTTCTAGGCAAACGAAATTTGATCATTTGACATTTCTGTTTAAACTTACTTGGTATGCATTCTCAGTGGAATGCAGGGCAAGGATGCGATGAAGGGTAGATATAAGATTTCTACTACGAGGTCCCAGAACTGCTAGTATAAACTGAAGTGGAAAATTTTCTTTCTTATTACCTTTTCATAATAAAAAAAAAAATCCAAATATGAAAATTTGTATCAAAACCTAAAAGAAAAGTTGTGTTTTGGAGGGGTGGATGCTCTACATGGTGGAAGCTCCTGTAATTCCTCCATTCTCGATTTCCTTGAGGATTGTAGCTCAGGCACAGGGCATGTCTTTTGAATGTCATTTACATCCCCAATTTCCATTTCAACTTTTGTAAAATTCGATGTGCTGTATTTTGCAATTTTCCTGAAAGTGGTCTCTTGAAAGAAACAAATTTAGAAAATTGTGATTAAGGAGCTGGTTGATGGTTGGGGAGAGGGATGGTTTGTTAACATAGGTTCAATTTACCTATATTATACGGGTGTCAGTATCTATTCTGCAAAAATTGAGAGGGTTGACATTTAATAGAGGTGATCTTTAATAGATATTTCATCAATTCATTAATAGAGCATGTTTACGATCACAAATTCATGTGTTTCAGGAAATGCATGTCATTATCTTATTTAATGTATGTATGGTTTATTACAGACAAGGAAAAGAAAACCTAAAAGTGGAGCCAACAGTGGATCTAAAAATGAATCTGGAGGCTCAGCAAATAATTCCACAGTTTCGACAACGGGAGTGTTAGCAGGAGTAACATCAAGTTCAACACCTATGGGTCCGCCCGCCAAAAGAGTCAAGTTGGAGCATTCTGGTACGAGCTTTTTCCAGAGAAATGTTTCATATTTAATTAAAATTTAGTTCATTTATTTGATATTTTTCACCGAAACATTAAAAGAATTGAGACTTATAACTTTTATTTAATACAAATGCATTTAAAAAATGATAGCTTCAGTTGTTAAGTAAATGTGAGTTTTTTAGTAAAGTGGTGGTGCTACAACAGCACATTCTTCCACCCATTATTTCAAACTTTTGCTATATTCGAATAATAAATAATCAGAGAGTTCAATGAAAATGAGACCTAGGCCTAGCGTTCTGTGCTCTATCCAAGGAAAAGAGTTAAAGAAAAAATTCTAGCTGTTTTGGAGGGCAACAATTTTTTTAAAAAAATTGTCTAACAAAAAACTACAGAATATTACTGTGTTTTTTAATGTCATGTTCTTATTCAAAGATTTAATTTTTTAGAACAAATTTCGTTCAAGGGAAACCTCTATTACCAGTAACTTTGTGTTTCAAAGTTCATTCTCTGAACATTTTTAACAGAGTTGAACAAAGGGGCCTACTCTATTTTAATGAGCGTAACAACACAACTTTGATTTTTCTTAATGGAACCCAGTAGATGTCTTTAGCACATGATAATAAGCTTGAAGAGAGGAATTCATGCATATGTATAGTACCATACACCTTTTGCCCTACATTACATAACAATATTTGTTTTAAATGTGCAAGGTTTTACGAAGTACAGAGTAATGCTTAGCATGCCATAATCACAATTGAATCCTCAATGAATCTAGAAAGTACATTGGATCTGACCCAAGCCCCCTACAGCAGCTTACTGACCTATCTTTCTCTTCGAATGAGTCTTTTGCCTGGTGTGATAAAATTTAAATTCATCAAGCTTCCAATATCTTCAATATTCCCTTTTGGATAATTAGGATATTAAGTGAATGTAGGATATAGAAAATAGGACCTTATAACAACCATTATTAAGAAATTTAATATAAAGTTGACAATAAAACCAATCAAGTAATAGGTAGCTCTTAATTTATTTGGTAATTACAAGGGATACAATTGTTTTCTAATAATAATTTATATTAGATTTAGAAAAGTGGAATGTAACTATTAATAATAATATTTATTATTTTTTTATGCCATTGCAGATAGCGGCTATCTTGAGTGTCATACTAATTCTGCAGTTAGTGTACTTGGAAGTGCTGGATTAGGCACCCCCAATGGGCATGCGTACCCAGGTTCACTGTATGCATCTTCAACATATTCGCATCATATGCTGAGTAGCTCTGCTCCTCCTGTGAGTTCACCTGCCTATTATGAATTGATTCAGCCACAACAGCACCATCACCATCATCAACAACACCATCAGACTGTTCAGTCTACTGGACACCATTCTCCAAAGGTAATTTTAAATACAAAATATGCTTTTCTCTTACAGTTTTTATTTTTGTGGAAACATTTCAACACACAGTGACTGAAAATTTCCCTACAAATTGAATTAGAAAAAAATCTCTGCAGAATGCAGCTGCATTTTTTAATTGACTTTGAAAAGGGGAATAAATCATATACATTTTGAGAAAAGATTTGCTCAATCATAACTTTCAGATGTGTTTTCTTATTGCAGTGTTTTTTCCTATTGCAGTGTTTCCCTTAAAGGGAAAGATACCTAAGTAATATAATTGTAATGTAATGATTTTCTGATAATGGAGTCCAAAAATATCATAAATACTGAAATAGTGCAATCTAAATTTCACACGATATTTTGTTCAAAATCAAATACTCCAATCAATCTGTCTCAAGTTGAGCTGAATTTGAATCTTCTAATTTTTGAGAGTACCTAATACACAACTCATTCATTTTCAAAGTTTTCTGAAAAAGCTACTCTATTCCAAATGTTTTCTATAAATTTTTTGTTCCAATATAGAACAATGAGCTCATAATTATTGTCAAATTCATTTTTCATTACAACCTTCTACTTTGTGAAAATTGTAGAGTTAAACCTTTTCAAATTTCTATGCGTTCAGTATTGAAGCAAAGACATTTTTGTCTTGATGCAATCTATATATCAGTGTTAACAATGATTTTTTGAACAGGTTTTTTAATTAAATCATGTCAGTTTTAAAAAAATTTGTAAAGAAGCTTTTCTCATAAACAGCTCCACATTTTTTCTTTTAATATTTTGTATAGATTAAGAACAATGCACTGGTTTAGGCAATGTAAAGGAGGCTATATAAAGTGCAAGAATTGACTGAATAAGGCTAATATAATCTCTAATACCTTTGAATTTTCAAAAATTACTCAAAAGTGATCAGGATCTGTCTTCTTAGGAAACAGAATATGTTTCCACCAAAAGTACTGGAAAGTTAATAAGTAGATAAATAAATAAAAAATAGTGATTTCGAAATATAGAAAAGAACTTAAATGTTAAAAATATACTCATTTAGAAAATACATCTTTCAATGTGAATGGGACGTATGAGAGAAATTTTGTGAAATGAGAAATTTTTTGTTAAAAAAATTTAAAGAAAGCTAAAGAATCTCTTTACTACTCACACTTCTGTCTCTTTGTCTCAACACAGAATTCTTAACACTGTTAATAATCCTCCAACTTTTACATCTATGTATTGAGAAGGGAATATTTGGTCATGAAATCATAGGCTATTTCTTGGTCAGAGTCATCTTCACCTTGACTGTCCGGGAGATGCCGTGTCCATGCACTGATGGCAAAATTTTCGTCATCATTCTACGATCTTCATCAGAGTGAAATGCTGGGACATGGAGGTACAGACGAATAGATGACTTGTAGTTGTAGCCACAGTGTTGAGATGCCCTGAGGCATTTCTCCCTGATGAAGGTTACTGCATGATGACCAAAACGTTACGATTTGTGCCTAGGACATGACGTTTCTCAGACCATCAAATAGATACAACGTGGTCATGGCCACAGAGTAGAGATGACAGAGAGTGAAAGCAACCAATAAATTGTCTGCTCTATGTTGAACATGATTGGCATCTGAATACAAGTAGAAATGAAAGGTATTGTCTTAATTAGGAGTTTTATTTCAATATTAAAACTCACAGTAGTTACATCTTTCAGTGATAGGAAATACGAATACAAGGGTTAGGACAAGATGCCTTATAGATGGAATTAGAAAAGTTTTGTAATCTCTTCTCTTTTTTTAAGAAATTATAAAAGTTTTTTCAGATGGGAATAAATCCTCAATGTACTTACACAATTATTTTTTACATATTTAGTAAAAGTTTAGAGTAATTTTGCAAGACAAAAGAAGGATGCAGGAAAAAGAGCAGAAGCTTTTATAATTTATAAAAATATGGTCTACATGCTCAAATAACTGATTTTGAAAGTTTATTTTTAATATGAGAAAAATATAAAATAATAGAGTATTATTAAGCAATGCAACAGATCATGTGCATCAGATATTTCTTAGAAACTTACATCAATTTACAATTCACTATTTTCATTAGAGATTGTAATTTATGATATGTAAACTAATTATTGTGGAAACGACAGAAGTATCATCACATTAAATACAGACTTATCTGTTTGTTATTACTCAAGATTATTGTTTGTTGGAGGAATCTGTATTACACCAATCACACTAACACATTTTTTTGAGAATGGTCATATTATAATGATATGATTGAAATACTTTTCTCTATGTCTATTCAAGTAACAATTTCGTATATTATTAATTTTACCTTTTGATAAGGCTGCTATATTTCAACCACCAGTACGTTTGTGCTGTACAATTCATAAAAAGTCATTGACTTGAGGTTAATTGACATCATCATTGTCAGAACCTTTGTGCAGTGATCACATTCTAAGAAATTTGATCCCATAAAATATCACTTCCTGCTCCTGGCAAGTCACTTATTTGGATTCTTCTAATAATTCGCAAATCTCACAAGGATGTAAGTGAAAATTTAAGAGATGTTGACCCACTAAATTTCAAATAGCAACAGTGGTAGCTTTAAGGAAAAGAGCTCGATCAGCAATAACTCTTCAAGGAACCCAGACGTGGTTTGTTGAAATAAACTTTTGATTTAATTTATGCGATTTTTTCGTGCATAATGTAAAATAAAATAGATTTGGTTCATTAATAAAAAATTCAAACCTTTTTAATTGTTCATTTAAATTGTGTCCATTTTAATTGTCTTTATTTGCCTACATAATATACAACGTCTTCTATGTTTATGATTTTGAATTCTCTTCATATGTTTTGCTCAGAAAATAATTTAATCACAGTATTTAAGTCATAAGCAGCATGTTATTCTAAGCATGAAAAATTTAGTGTTTTTTTGTCCCTTATAGAATGCCAAATATTATTTTTTATTATCTCATTCCTCATTCAGTGCTTGATGAGTGTGGATTGCTAAAAATAACAGACTGCAGCAATCTGGAAATCTGTGCCTTAGGTTTTGTTTCGAAATCCAAATACTGTAGAGAGCAACTTTGGATAGGAACTTGCTTTTAAGGGAGGAACAAATTTGGAAAATCACTACATTCATTCTTATGGCCAGTCAAGAGAAACTTGAAATACCTTCAATACAAATAGCAAATTCTTCCCTAATTTCTTCAATTTCTTTTGTCTTTTCTTGAAGGTGGTTGAAATTTATCTTTCTATAGGATTCATGATAGATAAGGTTTAAAAAAAAATTGAATATGCATTAAATTTCAATAATTTCACAAACTGTGTATAAAATAAATAATTTTATTGTTATACATTTTATTTTCACATAGAGGAAAAATGAAATATAATGGTATGTACCTAGACAGATTTATTACAACTGATTAGTCTTGTATTAGAAATTGAACCTTTTGCCTCTGTCTTCCAACTTCTCTAAATGTTGCTTTGAAAAAGTTAAAGTAAACTTACTAATTTTTAATTGTATATATTAATTCCGCATGGATATTCATGAAGCAGCAGTCACGTATAATACTTTTAACATCAGTGTGTAAGGAGCCGTCCATAAATTATGTAACGCAAATTTGGAGAATTTTGAATACGTCTTCTCTCCCCTGTAACACACCCCTAATGTGCAATTCAACCTCCCTAAATAATTATGTAAACCTTACAACAACATCCCCCTTGTACATGCAAGAAGTGGAAATAAATTATAAATGATTTGTGTTGTGTAATAAAATTAACAAAAATTAAAGAAGAAATTAGTTGTCGATACTGACTGCACCTAATAATAAGATTAGGGGCAAATTTTGAGTGAAGAAAAGACTCACAGACAGGAAAGTTTCTGTTCATAAGCTGTGCACATGCTGCATTGCAGATGGTGAAAGTCTACTGCGCCAATTTAATTGTATTCATATTCTACAAAATACAACTGATCAGTATTGAATATTTTCTTCATAGTCTTACAGATTCAATACAAAATTGATAAAAATGTCCATTTGTTGTAACAACTTCTATTAATTTTAAATTATTAATATTTGAAAACTAATTAGATAATATTTTAATGTTTTTGTATAAAACCCAAAAAGTATTTCAACAAATGTTAAAAAAGTCAGAAGATGGTGTGTATATTAATGATTCCTTTTTATTTATTCAGAATGTGTTAGAAAACATTTATTTTTAGCTTGAATTATGCTTCAATGTTTTTAATATGTTTTATACTGTCATTTAATGCATTTGATGGCAAAATGGTTTGATATTTTTTAAATAACATGATTTATTTCATTTTTTACACCCGTTTCAATATTAACTGAGCTTGTGAGCCATAAAACTACTGTGAACCGTCCTGAGTACTTCATAATATTTGCTGTTGTTTTCGTTAGCAGCGGTTACTGAGAGGAAAGCTGGCGGAAAAATTACCATGCTGAAAGTTCATTTCGTAATTTGAAATAATATAACACTAAACATTGAAGATAAAAATTACAAAATTATATAAAAAGAAATGTAACTTCTAATAATGCACCATTCTTCACCATTATTGTTTTTTTGGGAATAGTAGATTCTTTGTATGGTTTAGCATTGTAAATAAATGAGCTTTTCTATGTTTAGAGGTGATAAAGGCTAGTAAGGGAAAAACATCTCTGGAAAGTTATTCATAGTACCTAACAAAATATGATTTGATGTACAAAATTTCCACAAATCAAATTGAAAACATTATTGAAGCAAATACAAAAATTTTAAGGAAAATAATGTATTGAACACATTACAAATATTAACACTGTGTTGATATTAATTAAAAAAATATCAGTTTGAGACCAATTCAAAATTAGTGTAGAGAGATATTCCAAGTGAAGATCATCTGAATAAAAGACTACTGAGTATTAAGAAGACACCATCCTCAGATTCGGTATTTTTCATAAAAGATTGCGACTATTGCCATGTGGGTTCATTCAGATCACATGTTGATGTAGTTTACAAAAAACAATTAGTACAAGGTTCTCAATATACCCAGAGTTGGGCAAAATACTTGTATTTTGTATCTGAAATACATTTTTCAAAATACTTTGCCGAAAGTATTTTAGCTACCAAATACAAAATATTTCCATAAAAGTATTCTAGATACAAAATACAGCGATCCAGTTTCACAATTTTTTTTAAAAACTTTGATGTGGTTTACAATTGTCATGTATCCCTTCAACATGACTCGTTTTTCAAATTTTGTATCACTAA